AAAGATTTCAATTTGTTCATGTTAATGACGAATGTTCCACACAAATTGAAGTTAGTCACGGCGTTCCACAGGGCTCTGTTTTAGGTCCAATTCTCTTCACTTTATACATGCTCCCTTTAGGCAATATTATCAGGAAGCACAACATAAATTTCCATTGCTATGCAGATGATACTCAGTTATATTTATCTATGAAGCCAAATGAATCAGGTCAGCTGGTCAAACTTCAAGCATGTCTTAAAGACATAAAGGCCTGGATGACCTGCAACTTCTTACTTCTAAACTCTGACAAAACTGAAGTTATTGTGCTTGGGCCTGAAAACCTTAGAAATCTGCTGTCTTTTAATTTTAACCCGGTTCTTTTGTCTGAAGGCCCCAAGAAGTAACACTCAGGATACAGGAATCAGCTTCAAGTAGATTTATTTTCTTCTGGTTAAATGCAGAGTTATTACAGCGCTGGGCTCTGAGAGATGACAAGTCTCCAAGAGCCTCGATTATCACAAAACGTTTACATTTAGCTTCTCGGGCTGGTACTGCCCTATACACTGGTGGTACATTACACATCAATATTCTAGAATGTTCATATAGGCAGAATAAGGCAATTCAGTAAAAACAATTGTAACAAATTTAAATATGAATAATATTAATGAAATGAAAGCTAGATAGGGCTAGACAGACCTAAGTGTTACACAATGTAAGTGTGTGTGTATGTTGTTATCTTCTATTTTCAGGCGTTTCTTTCCAACTGAAAATAGACATGCAGTTAGCTGTGTCACTTCCCTGATTCTGTTGTAAAAAAAAACCCTTACTCATAGTTCAGACATGGGTGAAAAGTTCAAGCTGTCAGACTTCCACGTCTGTAAAATAGCATAAATTAACAGTATCTTATCTTTAGTTTCCAAGACACTTATCTATGCAATCTACTCTTGCACAATTATCTAAGAAAATAAGAAATACTACAAGTTGACCTGCAGCTGAAAATTATAACTGTTATGTAAGTATAAGAGCCAGGTTAATACTGATACATGGTGCTGTTAATAAAACACAGTCATACTAAACTTTATCCTTATAAAGCAAAATAATACTAACAGTAAATAAAACAACTGCAACTCCTGAAATCCAATTCTAACATGTCTAATCATATAGTTACTTTAGATGACATAGCTCTTGCCTCCAGTACTACTGTGAGGAACCTTGGAGTCATCTTTGATCAGAATATGTCCTTTAAATCACACATAAACCAAGTCTCTAGATCTGCCTTCTTTCACCTGCGCAATATTGCAAAAATCAGGAGCATCCTGTCTCAAAGTGATGCTGAAAAACTGGTCCATGCATTTGTTACTTCCAGGCTGGACTACTGTAACTCTTTACTATAAGTATATCCCAATAATTCCCTAAAAAGCCTCCAGTTAATCCAAAAGGCTGCAGCCAGAGTACTGACA